ATCCTCAGATCTCAGCCTCCTGAGTAGCTAGGATTACAGGCGTGAGCCACCAGCACCCGGCATTCTTCCTGACAATTCTTAAATTATAAAAACAAGAGTTTCATGAACTTTCCTGCCTGGACTGGCTTCAAACCATGATGTTCAGATCTCAGCCTTCTGAGAAGCTAGGGTTACAGGTGTGAGCCACTGGTGTGTAGCTCTAGCACACTCTTACAGGAGAAATTTAAGAATACAAAATATTATATTGTAAAGTCATGACTAAACCTTTATTATTAAACCAATTTAGGGACAAAGATCTAAAAATATTTCAATAAAACATAAGATGAGCTTTGACCCATATGAACAATTAAAATAACCAATGCAGATACAGAAATTTAAAATATTCCACTAGCAATATTAAAACTAAAGCTATGTTGTACACCAGTGGCACTCACCTATAATCCTAGCTACTCAAGAGGCTGAGATCTAAGGATCACAATTCAAAACCAGCCCAGGAAGGAACATCTGTGAGACTCTTATCTCCAATTAATCACAGAAAAAAAGCCAAAAGTGGCACTGTGGCTCAAGTGGGACAGTGCTCAGACTCAGATGTTTAAGCCCCAGAACCAGAAAAAAAGCCACGTAGAAGAAGGAAAAAAAAAGGGAGGTGGGGAAAGGGAGGAAATAAAGCCAAGTCTGTAATCCTAGGTACTTGGGAAGCAGATATCAGGAGATGGAGGTTTGAAGCCAGCCAGGACCACCCCCCCCCAAAAAAAAAATTCCCAGCCCAGTACATTTAGTATGTAATTCATAGGTAAAGTATGTCCCAATTTAGTCTAGTTTCATTAGACATGCTCAAAAATCAGATGTGGCTAGTGGCTACATGTGGTGGTGTACTTAGGAAATTTAACAAATGTTTACATGTGGCAAAATTACAAATTTTAAGACTTTCCAGACCAAATGCTATATTCTCCAATAGCAATCATCTTCAGCTTTATATAACTATTATAAAGGTACAGAATTGTAAGTCCTTTGTACAATCACATCATAATAATAGCAATAAATAAAATTATTATAAAGGGAAGGTTAAAAAAAATCACCAGTTTTATAAGTCAGAAGAAGCTAGGCACCAGTAGCTCATGCCTATAATACTACCTACTCAGGAGGCTGAGATCTGAGGAATGTGGTTCAAAACCAACCTGAGCAGGAAAGTCTGTAAGACTCTTATCTCTAACAACCAAAAAGACAGAAGTGAAGTTATGTTTCAAGTAGTAGAGCACCAGTCCTGAGTTTAAAAAAGCTCAGGGACAATGCCCAGGCCCTGAGTTTAAGACCCAAGATTGGTGTGACACCAACACACACAGACAGAGGAAAAGTAAGGTTTTAGAGAACAAATGCCAAACTAACTGGCATTTTTAAAGGCTTCCTACTGAAGCACTTGATGATTGAGAATTAACTACAGAAACCACTCGAACAATTTCCACACATCCTATGCTGACCTCAATATGAAATTATTTCAGGAGATCCTACACAATGGTTCTGGAGATCAGACATTTGTTCTGGTACTATCTAGTTTCCTTAGCTGCAAACTGAGAAGTATGTATTAGATGAATTCTTTACTTCCTTTAGGCTAATTTTATTTTTATTCTTTTGCCTCATCAAATGACTAAACTGAAATGGCACAGCCAAATGAGTTGGCTGGACTTTTCAAAAACACTTCTCAGCACTGGTACCAAATAAATGAAAATATTTGTACAATATAGAAAATAATCAGAGTAAATCATTAGTAGACATCTATCTCTCTAACAACTAATAGTTCCTTCCTTTTTCTTCTATTCCTATTACTAGAACCATAGTAATTTTATGTATGTGTGCACGTGTGCATGTGTGCATGCGTGCTGGTTCTGGGGCTTGTCTGGGGCTTGAACTCAGTGTCTAAGTGCTTTCCCTGAGCTGCTTCTGCTCAAGACTAGTACCATTTGAGCTACAGCTCACTTCTGGCTTTTTTTGAGTAGTTTATTAGAGGTAAGAATCTCACAGACTTTCCTTCCCAGGTTGGCTTTGAACTGCCATCCTCAGATCTCAGCTTAGTCAGTAGCTAGGATTATAGGCATGAGCCATCAACATCTGGTCCAGGGTAACTTTCAAAGCTCTAAGATTTGCAACATAGTTGCATGATAGTAGCAGTAATAATAGTTCCAGTGTGAAGCAATAGGTTATATTTACAACTTGAAAAATATTTTTATTTTATTTTATTTTTTGGGTCCAGTCGTGGGCCTGAACTCTGGGCTTGGGCACTGTCCCTCAGCTCTTCAGCTCAAGGCTAGCACTCTACCACTTGAGCCATAGCACCACTTCCAGCTTTTTTCTTTTTGCTTATGTGGTGCTGAGGAATCGATCCCAGGGCCTCAAGCATGCAAGGCAAGTGCTCTACCACTGAGCCACCTTCCCAGCCCCTGAAAAATATTTTTGCTAATTCAAAATTGCTTATCATCTAAGAATGACTCAAGATATTTCAAAGGGAAGTTTTACATGATGAATAGTAAGGAAAACAACACTTGTCAGCTGTAAGTTTCCTGTACAAAAAAGGACTATCACTAGTCAATACTTAGATTAAAAGATAAAAAGGTGAGAAGCCCTTCTACCAATCTATCTATAGTGAAGTTTTACACTTTACAACTTAACCTTGGCATTTTGAGCAACAACAGCATTGACATTCATATGTGTATTAAGTAAACTAATAAAAAAAAGGTAATTTTATGCTTCAATCATTACTGTAATACAGATAAATATTGCATTAAATATAAAAAACAGATTCTGAAGTAGTATTTAATAATTCTAGTGTACTTTTGCTCACAGAGTACTATAAAACCATAGCACAATGCACAATGGTGATATACTTTTACCTTCACAAGTTCTTTAAATACAGCATGCTGAATCATTTTTCTTTTATTAAGACCAGATGCCATCTCTTCAAGATCAATAGCAGACCTATTCATCATGGTGGTGATGTTTAGGACAGGAAAGAGAGAATAAGTTAAGACTAATCAATCCTATTAACATCCATGTAATTACTGAACTATACCATAAATTATTAGGTGCAAAAATGCTTACTTTCTCAAAACTTTCAGTTGAAAATATAAATATTAATTTGTCCTTACATGACTGTACTCATTTTATTTTTTGTACAGTTTATTTTACACATCTTTATGAGAGAAAAAGGACTTGTTTAGTGTTATGTTTAAATGATGACACACTTATTTCCAGACTAAAAATACACACAGAGGGCTATCTTGGGTAAGACACAATTGGGATTCAAGCAGTTAATGCAGTGACTCTATCCCAGCTGGTGCCCCGCCCCAGTGAATGCAATTACAAAGGCCACACACATCATTCAAACATGGATGAGAAACCAAAAAGGAAAACAAAAGAGAATATAATTCTCCAACAATAAATCACACCACTATTCTATTCAAAACTATGAGTTAGTGGGGCTGGGAAGGTGGCTCAGGGTAGAGCGCTTGCCTTGCATGCATGAGGCCCTCGGTTCGATGCCTCAGCACCACATAAGCAAAAAAAAAAAAGCCAGAAGTGGCACTGTGGCTCAAGTGGTATAGCGCTACCCTTGAGCTGAAGAGCTGAGGGACAGCGCCCAGGCTCAGAGTTCAGGCCCCACAACCGGACCCAAAAACAAAAAACAAAAAAACCCAAAACTATGAGTTATTGAAATGTTTTTGTTTTGTCTTTTTTAATAAGATAGAGGTATGGCTCAAATAGTACAACACCAACCAAGAAAGCCAAGAGGGTTTGGATCCCTGAGTTCAAGCCATGGTACCAGCATAAAATACTTTTACACTAAAATGTAATAATATTTAGTACAGTATATGAAAAAGTATTTTAAAAACCTGTAATTAAATGAAAGCTACATGCAGTTTATCCTTTGGACTAGTTTTTTTTTTTTTTTTTTGGTCCGGTTGTGGGCCTGAACTCTGGGCCTGGGCGCTGTCCCTCAGCTCTTCAGCTCAAGGCTAGCACTCTACCACTTGAGCCACAGCGCCAGTTCCAGCTTTTTTTTCTGCTTATGTGGTGCTGAGGAATCGAACCCAGGGCCTCATGCATACAAGGCAAGCACTCTACCACTGAGCCACCTTCCCAGCCCCTGAATCAGTTTTCTAACCTGAATTCTAGATACTCCAGTACTATATAATAGAAATCTTTCATGATTAAGCAAACCTTGCTAATTGGTTTCTCATTCCAATAAAATAAACATAGTTGTCCTGGTTTTGTACCCATTAACTTACTTCACATTTTCTCGTAGTTGCTTCACTAGTTTAATATTAACATCTGCTTCCAGTAATGCTGTGCATACTTCTTTTAGCATAGCATTTAGTACCTGAAAATAAATAACATAAATTTAGTATGTTTAGTGTTTCATTTCAATTATATGAAAACAATGACTGGCTGGTCACTGTGGTTCATATGCGTATAATTTTAGCATTTAGCAGACTGAGATCTGAGGATCATGGTTCAAAGTTAGCCAGGCAGAAAAGTCCCTGAGACTTATCTCCAATTAACTCCAATTGGAGACTTACCTCCAATTATATCCAACTATCTCCAACAAAAAGCCAAAAGTAGAAGCTGTAGTTCAAGTGGTAGAAAACTACCCTTGAACAAAATAAAAAAAGCTCAGGAATAGCACCCAGGACCAACACCAAAAAAAACCCCCCAAAACAAAAAAATCCAATGTCTGATGAGGTATATAGACTACCAAAGCTTAATAAAAAATAAGAGCACACTGCCGGGGAAAGGGAAAGTTCTTCTGTTAGCTTTGCAGAGGAATACCCATTATATGTCATCCCATGTAGTTTTACCAGCCAATTTCACTGCTATTTAAAGTAGTAACAATAAAAATAATACCCAAGACAAAGGAAATTACTAACATAATCAATATTGCCATTGGTGTTTTCTGTGTCACAGAAGAACTCTGATGCATATATTCATAGTATCTACTTTTCCTATTTGGGCTACCCTGGAGGAAAATATGACAAAAGAAAATTTACCCATCTGAATCATTTCTGTTCAGGAATAAAGTTAGAAAAAAGAGTTTCTTCCACTAATAATTCACTATCATCACACATACTGTGTGTGTATGTATGGGTGTTTGTGAGTGTTTGCACTTATACAATAAAATGTAACCTCCACAAGGGGAAGAATTTTAGTATATTTTGATCACTGGTCATTCCTTGTACCAGCAAAATGCACAAAATACAGGCCCTCAAATACTTCTTGCACAAATTCTGTTCATCAACTCACTTCACATGCCCTACAGATACTCTAAAAAATTGATGAAATTAGTTGGGCACTGATGACTCATGCCTGTAATTCTAGCTACTCCTAGCTATAGAAGACTGAGAGATCTGAGGTTCTTTTTAATGCCAGTCCTAGGGCTAGCACTCAGGTCAGCTCAAGCCAAATGCCCTCCTACTTAAACCATTACTTCTGGCTTTTTGGTATTTAAGTGGAGATAAAAAACACACACACACACAAAATATCAGCTCCTCTGGGGCACAGTGAAGGCAGTACTCAGAGGAAAATTCATAGCTCTGAGTACCTACATCAAATTGAGGAAATATCAAATCAACAATTTAATGATGCACCTTAACCTCCCTGAATAGAGGAACAAGCCAAATCCAAACCAGCAGACAGAAAAACTAATAAAAATTAAATTAGAAATAAAAGACTTAGAGGCAAAAAAATCCCAAAAAACATAAAATCAGCAAAACAGAGTTGGTTCTTTGAAAAAAAAAATTGACAGATGCTTAGCAAATCTGACCAAAAGAAAAAAGAAGAAAACACACTCAAATAAATAAAATTATAGAGACAAGAATGGGGATATCACAACAGAAACAGCAAGACCCAGAACATTATAAGGGAATACTTTGCAACCATTTATGTTAACAAATTTGAGAATAGGGAAGAAAAGGTAGAATTCCAAACAAGTACTAATAAACCCAAATTAAATCAAGAAAATTTTAACCAACTAAAGTAATGAAATAGAAATGGCAATAAAAGACTTCCCACCCAAGAAAAGCCCAGAACCAGATGGATTCACAACCAAATTCTAAAAGGCCTTCAAAGGAGAACTCACTCCAATACTCTTCAAACTCTTCAATGAAATTTGAAAGTGAAAGATCACTTTCTTTTTTTTTTTTGCCAGTTGTGGGGCTTCATCTCTGGGCCTGGGCGCTATCCCTCAGCAATTCAGCTCAAGGCTAGCATTTTACCACTTGAGCCACAGCGCCCCTTCTAGCTTTTTCTGCTTATGTGGTGCTGAGGAATGGAACCCAGGGCCTCATGCATGCAAGGCAAGCACTCTACCACTGAGCCACCTTCCCAGCTGGAAAGATCACTTAACCCTCATCCAAAAACCATATGGGATTCCTAAAAGATAGAGAACTGTAGACCCATTTCTTTGATGAACATAGATGCAAAACATCTCAATAAGCCAGGTGATGGTGGCTCACTTCTGTAATCCTAGCTACTCAGGAGGCTGAGATCTGAGGATTGTGGTTCAAAGCCAGCCTGGGCAGGAAAGTCTGTGAGACTCTTATCTCCAATTAACCACCAGAAAACCAGAAGTGGTACTGTGGCTCAAGAGGTAGAGTACTTGCCTTGAGCTGAAGAGCTCAGGGACAGTGCCCAGGCCCAGAGTCCAAGTCCCATGCCAAAAATACCCAAAAAACTTCTTAATACTGGCCAACCAACTTCAACAACTAACCAAAAAAATCATTCACTATGATCAAATGGGATTCGTTCTAGGGATGCAAAGCTGGTTTAATATATGCAAGTCAATTAATGTAATTCAACACATCAACAGAAGCAAGAACAAGAAACACATGATCATCGCAATAGATGCAGAAAAAGCATTTAACAAGCTCTAACACCACTTTATGATAAAAGCTCTGGAGGAGCTAGGAATCCATGGAATATTTCTCAGTAAAATAAAGGTTGTATATGACAAACCATAGCCAACATTATACTTAATGGTGAAAAGTTAAAATCATTTCCTCTAAAATCAGGAACAAGACAAGGATGTCCTCTCTCTTCACTTCTCTTCAATACAGTATTGGAATTTCCTAGCTAGAGCAATAAGGCAAAAGACAAACATAAATAGGGACCTAAATAGGAAAAGAAAAAGAAAAATAATCCCTCTTTGCAGATGATCTGATCCTGTATTTAAAGAACTCTATAGAATCCTTCCCCAAGTTAGTTGAGCTAATCTGAAACTTTGACAAAGTAGCAAGGTATAAAATTAACAAACATAACCTACAGACCTATAGCCATCTAATCTTC